GATTTGGGGAGGGTGGGGTGGGTGGGAAATCTGCTAACAAGGATTACAAAAAAGCTACAACTTTTTCTATGAAGTCTTGCCATGACACACAAAATACGTACCTTTAAAATTTTCTAGAACGAGGCTGTATAGTTTTTGTGTGTAGAAGCACAAACGCATGTGCATCAGTTTCCAACCATACTATACACATACCGTATGAAACGTGTAGGTTAACTTTCAAGAGAATGAGGAATGTTTGTTTATAAAACACTGTATGCTTTAGAAGACATGGACAGTATTATATGTACATATTCTAATTCAATTTAGCAATCACCTTTTCTCTTGTAAAAAGGTTTAAGAATGTGGTAAATTGTATAGAAATCTTGCTAATGCCAAACTACTGCTTCAAGGGTATCATACAATTTCTTTGACTTTTGGCCTCATCCATTAACCTTTGCAGCTCAAAATGCTAACAGCTCATACTGGCATTTGCAGCTAGAAGTACTGTAAAACATATATTTAGCTTCTAACATCTTCAAATGAGATTCTATAGATAATTTATTATAAAGCAGATCTTAATACAACAGTTCTAATATTTTATTTCAAGTACCTTTGTCTGTTTCACATTTGGGTACCAAAAAGATCTTGTTAAAATAAAGTAAATCTTTGGAGCGTTATGAAATTATTGACTTCCCAACCAAAATGATGAGATGTGACTATTAAAGAAAAATCTAGACATCTTTAAAAGACCAGTATCCCAGTCTTGTCTGACATCACTAGTACAATTTGGTTGCCTGGTCTTCTTGAATGTAAGAAAGTTAACATGGTCATTGTGAAACTTTTAAAACTTTTTTTTTTCCTTTTTGGTTTGAGCTTTCAGTGGCGTAGACTAAGTGATGGTAAAGTTGGTAAATCTGATTGTTTTGAAAGCTGTTGTTCATGGCTGCATTCTTTGTGTTGCACAAGTTAGCTAACTGTTGTTGAATAAAAATATAAATATGTGAATACCAGCTTTTTTTCAATAAAATGACAGCAAAAATGCATAAAAATGACTTTGAGTTGTGCCTTGTTTTTAGAGATGAATTATTGTTTTTATAATTTTTAAAATTCTGTTTAAAAGCAAAGAAAGGTGCAGCTAAGTTATATAATAATACTACTCATCATTTAGCATACATCATTCTCTGTAGATTTCAATGAGAATAGTATGCTCTATTTAAAGATGCAGGAGATGATCTACAGAGGAGTGAAGTGATGATAAATAGTGGGTGCATCTACATAAGATGCTTTACTGTGCATTAGACTAATCTAATGTGCAGTAAAGCTTTACTGTCTACATGTGGGCAGCAATTACTGCACAGTAGATTAGTCTAATGTACCATTTTCTAGTACCTGTACATACAGGTACAAGAAATCAGTGCATTAAACTAATGTGCCAAAGTGCATGTGAAGATGCTGACCAGGAGTAAATTGCTCCCGGTCAGCCTAGGCAGCAGGAGGCCACAGGGGTCAGGAAGAGCTGTCCAGGTTCAGTGGGACACTGCCTCAGCCACACGGAGACTGGGATGGTCCCTATCTCCATGTGGCTGGAAGGCAGTTGCCTGGCAGCCGGGTCAGATCTCCTAGCCCTGTGGAGATTGGGATGACTCCTGATCTCCACAGGGCTGAGAAGCAGCTGCCCAACAGCTGGGAAAGCTCTCCCTGCCCCACGGAGATCGGGATGGGCCCAGATCTGTGCAGGCTGAACTGGGACAGCTCCCCCTGTCTTATGGGACTCAGGGCCTGCCCCTATCTCCCAGTGACTGGCAGGTAGCTGCCCATCAAGCTGGGACAGCTCCCCCTACCCTGTGCAGTTTGGAGCTGCGCTCCAGAACTGGGACAGCTAGAGGCTGGCACCAGGGGAGCAGAACAGGACAGGAGCAGCCCTGGACCAGGCTGTTTCTGTTGAGCACAATTTGCTTCCAACATGGGTGCATGTGTAAATGTGTCCAGGAGCAGTTTAATGAGCCTGAATTTTCTATGGAGAAAAATTGCACATGTAAATGCACCCAGTAAATGCAATAAGAGTGGCAGAACAAGTCTCCCACTGTACTTTGAATCCAGTGCATTCTCCACTGGACATACTCTGGTGTTACCCACTCTATAATCCACAGAAGCCCAATAATACTGTGCAGTAGCGTACTAACACTGTTTCTTCTGTGACGTGCTACTGCACAGTATTAAGCTACAGTGCAGTAGTGTCACTAAAAAGGCATGCGCTAGTGCTACTGAGCAATAGCATCGGTTCCTGTGCTTTGATTATACAAGTACTAAACTTAATGCACAGTAACTGCAACACATTAATGAACATGTAGATGTGCCCAGTGTTTGTACCCCTACTACCATTGTGCTAAAAGGAAGGGAAACCTTATTCAGTTTCTCCAAAGAAAAAAATTTATGTGCCTTCCCTCCAAGGAGGAGTTTAGGGTGTAAAGGAAACTGCCTGTCAGAGACCCCAACTCAGGCTCCTAATCACTGGAGTGGGGTGGGATTTCTGACACACTGTCTGACTCAGTGTTCCCTAGTGACTAGTTCTAGCATGCTAGCTACTTTGGATCCCATTGTAGGGATCCAACTCTCCCTGCACTCTGTTACTCTGCGATGCCCAGTGGGGCAGAAACTATCCCACTGTTGTTCATTCTTTTATCCAATGAATAATAAATGTAAGATGCAGAAAAACTATTGAGGTTCAGGGCCAAGAACTGAGGGCTTGATTCCTTTCAGGGCAGTGTCTGTCTCATTAAGCCACTCTTCCTCTAGCTTACTGTCTTTTTGGATCCATACATCTTTACCTCCTCTTCTTTAACATGGGCTACTTTCAAGATGAGGACTGGAGAATAGCTTGGGCTATCCCTAGGCCTGGTGGCTGAAGCACTTTGCTGAAACTTGGAGATGTAAGTTCAAGGCCTTCTAGCTGAGTGGGTTCAAAACCTAGGTCTCTTGCTTTCCTGGGCTATTGCCCTAAGCACTGACCTATTGGACTAACAGGGGGTGGGGCTCTGCCTTGCTCCCTCACTCACTAATTGCAATTTTTTAAACTAAAATTTTCGGACTTTCTCAGTGTTAGACACGTGCCCAGGCAATTCTATTCTGCCATAGACCCTATGTGGTCCAAGTGCAGCTAAAAAGTGACGTGCAGGGTGAGCATGGCTATTCAAGTCAAACTCTATGTATGTGCAAAAAAAACACTTAGGTAAATACCACTCAGGTGGGTAAAGCATGAAATAGAGTTTAGCCCCCAACTTCTCAGCTTTGGAGCAGTTCTGGGCATGCTCACAAATAGCCCAGGGAACTTTTCTTTTAGAAATTTGGTATACGGGGACTTTAGGTACCTCTTTTAGGATGAATGTGCCTACAGTGGCAATGAGGCATAATTTAGATCTCCTGTTTTCCAGGTGTGCCCACTCTAGCCAATGAGCTACTATGCATGCAGTTTTATTCCCTGGTATTTTTTCTCCATGAAAGGGGACTGACCTGTTTTAAGCACCTAACTCCAGGAGAGGGTCAGCAACTGAGACTCCCCAGCTAAAGTCAGTGCCCAATTACCTCGCCTTAGCATTTCTTACTGGCTAAGGTAGGCTGCTCTTCACTCAGCAAATTGGCTTGTGTGATTACCATTCTTACCACATGCATACAACGTGACAACAAAGGGTATGTCTACA